ACCAATAGTAATAAAATATGAGTTCTAGATAAATGATAAGAGGATATAAGGAACGTATCTGTTTGAGACGTAGTGCAAGCCTTGATAGTCTTTAACTTCTTGAAGGATTGAAACCCGTCAAACTCCAAAATATTTGATAGTATAAACATATAATGATATAAGCAAAATGTCTGGTTATATGGAGAGACGAGAGTAAATGTCGTATTGTATGGCAGACGAGCCTAAATGTCGTATTGTAAGGCAGACGAGCCTAAATGTCGTATTGTAAGGCAGAAGAGCCTAAAATCCTATTGTAAGGCGGAAGAACCTATACATCGCATTTTAAGGAGGACGAGCCTAAATGTCATATTGTAAGGCAGACGAGCCTAAACATCCTATTGTAAGGCGGAAGAGCCTAAAATCCTATTGTAAGGCGGAAGATCCTTAATGTCATATTGTAAGGCAGACGAGCCTAAACATCCTATTGTAAGGCGGAAGAGCCTAAAATCCTATTGTAAGGCAGAAGAGCCTTAATGTCATACTGTAAGGCAGACGAGCCTAAATGTCGTATTGTAAGGCAGACGAGCCTAAACATCCTATTGTAAGGCGAAAGAGCCTAAAATCCTATTGTAAGGCGGAAGAGCCTAAATATTGCATTTTAAGGCGGAAAAGCCTAAACATCCTATTGTAAGGCGGAAAAGCCTAAATATCGTATTATAATAACGTGGGAGAGCTTAAATATATATTCAGTCAGTCGTAGAAAAAATTTGTTAATAGCCTCTTCAAAAAAAAATCTGAGGATAGTATGACTTACATAGTAGCTCCTAAATATGACAGTACGCTCATATATAATTTATTCCTGCATCCAGAGAAAATTCGTAAATTCAAAAGGCGAGAGATGGTCATACCTGTGCTTGTTTTGCCTTTAGAGTTGCATTCCCTTGTGATGAAATTTTTGAGGATTTCTCAAAAATTTCTGCCCCAGTTTAGAGTATAAGATATATACTCACTTTGTTAAATTTCTCTGTGAAAATTTTTGAGGTTTCCTCAAAAATTCTGCCCCAGTTTATTAGTGGAGGAATTTTTGATCCTGCTTCACTCAAAGAAAAATTGTAAGTTCCAAAAAAATGATTGTCTTGTATTTGGACATTAAGGCTTGACTTCGAATTCAAGTGTCAACTATGTTCATGGATTGTCAATTAGCCTAGATTTGAATTTGTAAATAAGAATATGTTTTGAATGACCATGGGGAAGAAATAAAATTTATTTGATAGAGACCGAACCCATCGAGGGTTGCCTACGTATCCAAAAAGAAAATCAGGTCAAACGTAGTTCAGAATTACAAGGAAAAATGAAAGGAATGGGGAAGGCTTTGGGCATAAGGTCTGAGAACAATAAAACCAATTTTATTCATAAGAGTCTTGTCCTTATCATTTTCTCTGATGTGATTTACGCTTCCTTGTCAAGTTCCTAACGTATATCTTTGTAGGACCTCCTTGAACGATGAATGTATTCGCCATAGAAGGATTGCAATTGTTGTTTTGTTGTCCTTGTTGCACTATAATTTTTCTTTTTTCAATCATATTCTAAATCTTATTTCTCAATGTTGCACATTCTTCAATGTCATGACCTTGAATGTTTGAATGATAGGCACAATTTTTGGATAGATCAAAGTTTGAAGTAGAGTGCTTGGGAATCCATCCATTTATTGATCTTAGAAGTCCTTTAGCCCATAATCTCTGAAAAATATCGGTCAAAGTTTCCCTTAAGGGGGTGAAGACACGAGGTTTCCTCACCTTATGTTGAGATACCTGAGGTTTGGAAGGCTCAAGAATAGCATGAATTTGCTCAATATTCTGATTTCTTTGTTTCGGAGGTATATAGGTTGATGCATCTTCGTTCCTTTCATCTAATGAGTCTTTCAATACTTGAAAAGGAATATGTGTATCAGCAATTCTTCCAGACTGAATGCCATATTCTAACTCTTTTCCAATTTGAATTAGACTGTCGAAACTTTGAATACCAGCGAAGAACAAGGTTTTGTAGTATATACCCTCAAGTGATCTGATGAGAGTTTGTACCAACTCCTCTTCATGCGGTAAGTGACATATCTTGGAGGCTTCCATTCTCCATCGTATGACATATTTCTCAAAAGATTCATGACTTAATTTCTTCAATTTGAGCAAATTTAACATTGTAGGGTCAACCTTGTTATTAAACTTGTATTGTTCCACAAAGTCTCGAGCCATGTCTTCCCATGCGAGCCATTGTCAAAGTCTTGTTTGACGTACCAACTGAAGGCTATTCCTGATAAGCTTTGAATAAATAACCTCATTAGGAGAGGTTCATTGTTTTCTAAGCCAACTAGCCTGCTGCAAAAATCTTTGAGATGTGCTATTGGATCCCCACGTCCGTCGAACATCTTGAATTTTGGAATTTTAAATCTTGACGGCAATTCAACTCCTGGGTGTAGACATAAATTTGTATACCTTAGGTCATGAGTAGGTATTGAATACAATACTCCATTCACCTTTTTCTCCAAGTCATGCATTTTTCGCTGCAGTGCATCTAGCTTAGACTTATCTATTCCCTCATATTGTGAAGCATCAAAATTGAGGCGTGTTGGAGACCTTTGTTGAGAAAGAGTGTGAGTAGGAATAGGATGAGGAGAGATGGTCCAAAAGGTACTTTGTGTTGGACGAGAGGATGGGTGATTTTTTCGAAGGTTGAACATATTTGTCCTATTGCATAATCTTAGTCGAGCCAATATCCAAATACTATACAACCTTTAGTCAATCAAACACAAAATCGAGTAATTATATAGTGAGCCAAAATTATAATATCAAATGAATGACACAATAAACTCAAAGTATGACAATTATAACAGTTAATAGAATAAGGTCACATAATTGATTCAAGTTATACTTTGCCAATTCGAAGTTTAGAGTCAAAGAAAGATTTTAACTCCATTTTGACATAATGACTTGATTTAAAATATGATGATCAAATTGACACATAAATATGCAATTTGTCTAAAGGGTGTTGGGGCCCTTTAGACAATAGGGTGGCTACTAATTATATGGATTGACGCCAAGGTTCAAACCACCAAGGGTTTATGCAGCATGTATGACCTAACAAGGACTTCTAAGAGTTGTCTTGACGCGGACTTGAAAGGGATTCTATGTGAGAGGCTCGTGGTTTTGCGGTAGTAAAACTATCCGTTACGTCCACGCATATGCTGACTCTCTATAATGGGTGTTTGAATAGAATTGGAGTAGTTGTGAGAGGTGCAAAGGCACAACATCACGAAAAATTAAAAAAGGAGAGGGTCCCAATTGGGAGAAATATGAGCGGAATGCCAGTTATCAAAACAATAAATACTTAGCATTTAAATTCGAAAGTGGTACATATAAGCATTTTATAAGACAGTTGAATAAATAAATAAGCATAAATAAATAAAGGTGTAAAAAAATCACGCAAATAAGAAAAGATGGTATGGGATTAAAAGTAGTAAACAAATAAGGGAAACGGGGGAATATGAAACATAGTAATAAACAAATAAGAAGGGGGAAAATGGGTGGAACATGAAAAGAATACAGTAAATAAGGCAATAAAATGATAACTAAATATGATAAACACCTAGAAAATAATGAAATAAACAATATAAAGTAAACCCCACATAAATAAGCATGAAACACGTAATGTAGGAACCTAATATCCCCGGCGGAGTCGCCATTCTGTCGCGCCCCATTTTCGCAGAAAACGGGTTTTGTGCGCGACCTAACAACTCTTTTGGGATTTTGAGTTTTAGGAGTCGCCACCTAACGAATTAAGGCGCGTTAGGGCACCTATCTAACCTAAGTCTAACTAAGGTCAACGAGCCAGATAAATAAACTTTTAGCATATCCATAAAAAAAAATTGTTTGTGCATATTTGAGCCCTCCCCCTAAAATTAGTTAATATTATTTAATTAGCAATCCTATTTGTTTTCCGCATTCATGATGCAATATTTTTTTAATAACACTAAATTAGAATCATTTCATGCATTTGGCAAATTACTTGGCTTTAAAAAATATTTCATATCAAAACCTTGCAACATAATTTTCTTAAAAAAAGTCATTATTCAATCTTTTTTTAAAACTTTGGATTGATTATGACATTGTTTATTTTGAAAAAAAATAATCATAAGCACTATCTCCTAACCTATCGTTAGTGGGAAAGTCAAAGGAACTACGAGGTCTAGTTCCAATTTTTAAACCCGACGCGTCCCCGGAAGTACCACCTACCCATGAATTTCAAAAGGAATTATGTGTATTTATGTGTAAATATTTATGTGCCTACATGTACACTAAATCTTTAAATCATTTTCAAAACATAAACTATTTTTTAGACCGACCTCAAATCAAAATTGTTTCTATGGTAGAGGAGCGCGATCAACAATATCGTGGCATCATCCCTATAAAGAAACAAACATTTTTTTAAAAAAAATAAAATAGAAATTCCTACTCAAAACTCATCAATTTTCAAACTTTACTTTCGCACATATTAATTGTTTGATATTTATAAATTTTGTTTATAACATAGTCTCACATGCTTAAATAAAAATAAAACTTGATTGTTTATTTATTGCTATCACCTAGCCCTGCATGCTCAAAATAAATAAAATTAATTGTTTATATTTGCTATTACTTAGCAAGATTAAGTAAATTAATAAATGAAGTGACATTGATTGCTAATTGTAACCCCCACATAGATTGCATGAGATACGGCCGGGACCCACACTTGTGGACCTCGAGGGATGCCTAACGCTTTTCCCTCGAGGTAATTTGAACCCTTACCCTAATCTCTGACTCGTTGACCTTAGTAAGACTTAGGTTAGATAGGTGCCCTAACGCGCCTTAATTCGTTAGGTGGCGACTCCTCAAACTCAAAATCCCAAAAGAGTTGTTAGGTCGCGCACAAAATCCATTTTCTGCGAAAATCGGGTGCGACAGCTCCTTCATAGCTTTCCTGATATCTTCTTTCATATTCAACTTGGTTGCTTCTTTCTTAGATCTCCAATCTCTCTTATGTTCCTACTAGTGGTAAAGCTAAAAAGGAATTGACATAAAGTTCATTTGAAAATGGTATTTGGAAAGTAGTCTTTTGAGGCAATGATGGGTCATGAAAGGATTTTGGGTGTTTTGAGGAGCTTGGTATATCTGCGGGAGATACTTTATGGTTGGATTTTTGGTTTTGAAAATAGGGGAAGGACTAAGCTTGTTCGTATTTTGGTTTTGAGGAAGATGGAAGGTTTGAAGGTTGGTATTTTGAGTAAGAGACGGTTTGATACAAGGTGGTGGCGTGTTGGGGCTTGGGGGTAGTTAAGTCAATGGTGGAAGGATTCTGAATAGGATTGGAGGGTGGGTTAATGAAATCTTTTGTACTTGAATTTAGAGGAATAGAGAAGAATGGAGGTCTTCCATTATTTAGAATGTCGATAATGATACCCAAATTTGGAATATCACGATCTTTCTTGACCTCAGCCGTCAACTCAGCAATTTGTTGCATCAATAGTCGGATCAATTTATTTTATTCAGCGGTGGAGGGCTGGACTATAGAAACTTTGGTCAAGCTAACCTCGCCATTTTTGTCACCCATTGATGTTTTTCCTTTTAGTAGACGGATGTGAGGAAAGGAATATTTAGGAGCTTTGGATATTGTAAAGCAAGGGTGTTCGGTCAAGTTATCAACACAGATCAATTCTAAATACCTGACAAATGAAAAATAACTCAAAAGGTAAACATGTTAGTGTCTAAATGTGATAAATAATACATGATAAGAGTTGCTTTATTAGGAGATAAACTGGCCACTGATGTAGAGAAATGGCTAAATAGACAAGAATTTGTCTACTTGACTTTGAAATTAGTGAATCAAAGATGTCGACTTGAGTCAAGACAAATTAGATTGTATCTTTCATTATTGCACTTTTGATTTTCGATTATGATGTTACTCTAATTTCTTTACCAGAGCTAGCATTTCTCAAAACTTGGAATTGAGCCTTGAAAGACTGTCTAGTATCTTATGAGGGAGAATTTAGGTCCTACATAGTTCGACCAACTTGAATTTTTTTTAACTTCGAGATGATGAATCTTTTTTCTAAAATGATAGTAATAATTGGAAAAAAATGAAGTTCAAATTTTGACAGAAAACTAAAGACTCGATAAGTGGTTGGACGCACTTTTGAAAGTGACTTGATATTTGTGCTTAGCGTTCTAAAAACAATTTGAAGAAGAGTGGAATAGAATATCTCCAATTAAACAAAAATATTAACAAAAACAGTTAGAACACATAAACAACTATTACGCGATATAAACAGATTTGTGTCTCTTTTGTGCCAAGAATGGGTCTAGCGATTTAAAGGATGTAGTACATTATTTGAAACATTTCATTGTCTCAAAACCCAAAATTATACATGTTTTGCGAATAAACTAAATGGGCATACATAATAGGGAAAAAGGGATAGAAAAATTAAATCTCACGCAGGGGTACTATCATCAGCTATGCATCCATGGAATTTCTTTTGATTTTGATTTATTGACATCTCCGAGAGACGAGGCCTTTAGCTTTGTAAATCTTTATTTTTACTATAATAAGCTATGAAAATCTACTCACAACTCCATGGGACAATGACGTATACATCCTTAAAATTTAACACACAAGTATGAACGTCCGCTCAAGTCGTGAGCTATTTGGACTCATGATGGTCTTTCTAATGGGTCCAACACACCTTGGGTGTTAGGTCATCCTAGGTAAATGCGCTAAATTTTGGGGATTTGGCTTTGCTTTACCCTAGTTTGACTAAGAGTGGGCATTTTTATTATGGATAGGTGACCCAATCTTACTACTTGGGCTGGAACATTTAACAACCAATGACTATCAAATAGCCAACTACTTTCGTCAGGGTGCCCTGAGAACAATTTGGTTAACGAATGACCGTGAATCCGCATAATCTTCCTTTTAAGTAAAAAAACAAAAATAAGTTCCTTTTGATAGAATATGTCAAATCCCAGTAGAGTCGTCATTTTATTTTATATAAAAATTTAGTATTTAGACTAGTTTTAGAGTAGTCACTTAATTTTTGAAGTAAAATTAATAAAACTATCTTTCAAAGATTAAAACAGTAAATCTAATGAAAAATACTTAAAGGGGTTTGGGATTCATATAAGCATTTTGGAAAGGATTTGAAAGCACCCGAAATGCCCACTAACAAGCCGTTATCCGACAATTAAAATATTTGACTAATATTTTAAAAGATATGCATGCTTAATTAAGTTGAGAAAATATATCAACTTAAGATCAAATATTACTTTTAAGAGGAAATGGAGATAGTATAAGGAATTATTTAAAGAAATTTTTTTCAAAGTAGTGTAAGTAGAAATATAAGGACCTATGCAATTACTCTTTAAGAAAATCTCAAAAGGTTATAGTTTGGAAGATCAAATTAGCAAAACTTTAAAATTGACTAGAAAATAGATAATTTTACGCAAATACAAAACATATAAAATAAAGAGAGAGAATTTTGTGCCCAAATCTAGTTTTATGTCACCCTTGACCAATACTCGGGCCTGAATTCGTTTTGGGCCTTCGGCCAAATTCTTGCCTCCTCCCCCTTTTTGTACCTGTCCTAGACTAAATTTGAAATTCATTTCTTTGTGCCTTAGGCCCATCTTGCACCTTTCCTAAATTCTAACAAGGTAATAATAAGCGAGTAGGCTTAGGCATACAACTTGAAAATAAAGAAGTAGGCGTTTTGGTCCAATTTCTTCAACTCTCTGATATCCTTCACTTTATTGCGTATAATTAATGTATACTCGAAAAAGGTGGATTTGAGCCTTTACTACTCTCTCAAAATTGAAGGAAAAGGAGATTTAAGTCCCAGTTTGACTCAAAACGGATACATATACAACATAAAAAACTAAGAAACATATAAGCATAACGCAAAAATTCTCTCGATGAAAGTTGACCTCATTTTAAAACACAGCTACATAATTAAAATAATTAATGCATGTAAATATTATATGAATTAATCTCACATTTCTACCAATCCCAACAGTAACTTTGGCAAACATTTAACAACTAATGTTTTCAAGAGGGTCAACAATTTAACTTAGTCATGGCAAAAGTTAAGGACTAAACCCATATTAATAAGATATCTAAAATGAAGAAGAAAACAATGTGGTTGAAATTACTATGCATATGAAGACACTCAAATTCATTCCTTACTAGATAAACATGACATAGGAAACAAGATAACCATTACAAATTCAAGTGGCATTGACCCCAAGACTAGCTAATTATCATAAAAAAAATAATCACACATAAGCAACTTATATCAATTAATGTTTTACTTAGATAATTCTTCATACTATTTCAAAAGGGATCCATGACTCATACCATCATGTACAACAAGTGAATCAAGACATTATTACTATTTTGCGAATAGTATTTTAGGATAAAAAGGGCATCAAACATGATACCATATCAAGATAAATTCCCGTTAAAATACACGGGATACTAATGGTAAGCTCCGAGTTTAAACCAACTCTACATATGAATTTTTAGAAAAAAGAACGATTTAAACATTGATGCTAGAGTTAACATAACCTTAAGGTAGAGAATAGAGATTATCAAAATCACATGAGAAAAGTAGGACAAAAAGAGAGAAAAAATAAGAACAGGTGAACCAGGCTATCAAAATTAGGACAAAGAAATCACATCCACACAACCATAACAAGAACAACTAACACCTAAGCCTCTTTACTATTTCGAGTACAGTGTCAACTTGTAGCAAAAGAAGGCTTGAAGACAGCACAACATATAGATAGCGGCAAGTGAAATCAACAACATTTAAGCAAGCATACAAGAAGGAACAAAGTATTGCTCGGACAGAAAAGAAGAAAGACGACAACAATGAATACAAATCGATAAAAATTTAAATTAGCACTAAGAATAAACATAGAGACAATTTAAAGATAGAAATAGCATCAAGGCACCAAGAAACTTAGAACAACAATACACAGTTATTAACATCATATTGTAAGGGAAAAGATAACGAGAATATTGTAAAGGAGAAAACATTACCTTCTTATGGAAGCAATTGGGACGAAACGATCTGAAGGAGAATATTGTAAAGGAGAATATTGTAAGGGAAAAGATAACGAGAATATTGTAAAGGAGAAAACATTACCTTCTTATGGAAGCAATTGGGACGAAACGATCTGAAGGAGACGAGCTTTCACACCAAAAGTCAGACTTCGGAAGACTCTCGTATACAATGAACAAGAAGAAAGCCAAAAGCTAGACTCTAAGTATATGTAGTTTTCTAATCTATTTTGTATGTCTTGTTGGGTATGTAAATATTGCCTCTATACTCTTCTAGACTTTATTTCCTGTTTTCCTTCAAAGCTCCCACTAACCTTTTTCCTATATATATACTTTCCCAACCCATAAACAGATATCTCCAACCATAAACAAAGATAAGAGGGAGTTTAAATAGGGGGATTTATGGGATGGAAAGAGGGGGAAATCGGGTAGATTCTTTTAGGGTGAATTCCAAAATTTGAAATTCAAACGCTCATAAGAGATGAGATAAGGTTGAAAGTTTTCCATAGTACCAACTCTCAACAGAACTTTGAGGGGAGCCGTTCAATTTGGAGAGCAAGGAAGCACTAGATTTTGACACCTAAGTAATTGTCAAAATGATTTCGCACAAGACGAAAAGGAAGAAAGACCCTGCCGAATTTGCTGGACTCGGGTCTAGGCGGCTTTGAATCGCTGGTTTGCAGCATTTCTAGGCTTTGATTTGTGTGTTATTTTGCATTGCTGGACTGCTGGAGAAGAAAAGGAAGACGCAGGGGATCGGTTATTGGCATTGTTGCACGCTTTGTTGCTAGAATTGTTGGATGTACAGTATTGGACCGAGTATTTGGGTGTTAAGAGTAGGTTGGGATTATAATGCTAAAAGACTGGGTGAATGGGCCGCTGTAAATCGTAAAAAAGGACCCAAAAATGATCTTTAAAAGTTTAGGTTTGAAGTAAATTAATTAAATTTTGGTAGAATTGTAATTTAACGGTATCCCAAATAATTCAAATGCAACCGAATAGATACAAATTAATTTGAGTTTCATTATGTCCACAAAATAAAATAATTAACTTAATTATAAACTATTACATAACTAAACTAACTAGTAAGATATTTATGCAAAATAAAATCTTTTTAGATGATTTTCGAATATTTATAAAATGTACTAATTATATGTACAATTATATGAGAAAATTTATTTATTATTAAAAACTATAAAAGTGACTAAAATTTATTTAGAGTAACTGTAGAATATTTTGAATTTTATAAAAGTTAATTATTTTAAATCGTTCTAAACTAAAGATGCTCTTAAGTTAATTTATATGTGAAGGTCCAAATTTGAGTGTCAACAAATACCTTGATATGTTTGTAAATGTTTCACTGATGATATATTGATTTATTTGAGAAGTGAGGATGATCACAATAATCATTTGAGGATTGTGTTGGGAATTCTCAAGGACCGACAACTCTTTGCAATGTTTAGAAATGTGAGTTTTTTCTATGATCCGTAAATTTTGTTGGTCATATTGTTTCCAGTAAGGGTATTGAATTATATACTAAGAAGATGGATGCAGTCAAGAGTTGGCCTAGACCTCTAACTCCTTCAAACATTAGAAGTTTCTTGGTTTTAGTTGAGTACTGCAGAAGGAATGTTCACGGTTCTCTTCGATTGCCTCTGCATTGACATCTTTGACTCAAAGTAAATCTAAGTTTATATAGTCCAAAGTATGTGACAAGGGTTTATGGGAATTAAAGACAGACTTACTTTCTATTCAGTTGACTTTACCGGAAAGGATATATGGTTTTATTGTTTATTTTGATGCCTTAAGAATTGGGTTAGGATGTGTGCTTATGCAATTTGGTAAGTTTATTGCCTATGATTCAAGGAAATTTAAGGTTCATGAGAATAATTATCCAACCCATGATCTTCAGTTTGTGGCAGTGGTGTTTGCCTTAAATATTCGTAGGAACAATTTTTATAGTGTTCATGTAGATGTTTTCAACGACCATAAGAGTATGCAATATGTTTTTAATTAGAAAGATCTTAATCTTCAACAAAGAAGATGGCTTAACTATTCAAGGATTATGATATGTGTTCTTTATCACCCCCGTAAGACAAATGTGGTGACGGATACTCTTACCCTACTACCAATAGGAAGTGTTGCCCAAATAGAAGATGTAAAAGAGAATTGATACAAGATGTACATATATTGGCCCGATTAGGTATCCGATTAATATACCCCACCAAAGGTGGTGTTATGGTTCAAAATATCATAATCGTCTCTTGTGACGGATGTGAAAGACAAGCAATGTCTTGATCCGACCCTAGTAGAATTAAAAGAAGAGGTACTTAAAAATTATGTACAGGCTTTAACCCGAGGGGATGGTGTACTAAGATATTAAGGTCGTTTGTGAAATCCTATTGTTGATGACCTAAGGGAATGGGTTTTGTCAAAAGCCTAGAGTTCTTTGTATTCCATTAATCTGGGATCCACCAAGATGTACCATGATTTGAGAAAGGTTCATTGGTGGAATGGAATGAAGAAGGATATTGCGGAATGTGTGGCTAACTGTCCTAATTGCCAACTAGTGAAAGTTGAGCGTATGAAATCGAAAGGTTTATACCAAAACATTAGTATTCCTACTTGAAAGTGGGAAATTTGAATATGGACTTCATAGTAGGGTTGCCACGTAATGGCGACAATATGATTTGATTTGGATTATAGTAGACCGAATAACAAAATTGGCTCATTTTATTCCATTCAAAGTTTCTTATATGATGGAAGATTATGCTAAGTTGTATTTGAGGGAAATGGTAAGGTTGCATGGAGTGCTCCTTTAACACCTTCTATTTCAGAAAATAGAAAAATATTGTAGTTTTCCAGACCTGGTGAAAGAACCACAGAAACTATCGACATTATGTGGTCCGTAACACTATTCGTAAGTGTGATCTGTCTTTGAGTACCAAATATTTATGGTCTCTTACTGATACGCTCAAATTTACTTCTCAAATAAGAAGTAAAGCGGTTGTGTCAAGTAAATAACCCAACTAGTGAGGTTGGGATCGTTTCCACGAGGAAAATAGTTTAAACTTCACTTTAACCTATTATTACTATTGTTTGGTCAATTACTTCCTTGGAAAGCAAAAACAATAAAAGGGGGGTTTCTATTTCTAAATGAATGAAAATAACTAACGAAATTGAAAGAGCCATTTAACAGCTTTGAATGTTGGAGTTTAATCAATTAATCAAAGTAACTAGGGTTTACGTGTTTCCCACAGGTTCATAACTTGATAATTCTAACTACAACAATTCTTTCCTAGTATCTTGCATGCAAAGTGATAAGTTATGTATTTCTAAATCCTTGGTCCGGCATCTAGAAAATCTCACTCCGCACCTTGGTCCGGCTACGTGTGTTGCTATACTAACCCTTATCTTTACCTCTTATTAAGCATCGTATTCGATATTTGACTAAGTTATTACCTCGTACCAATCAATACTAGCCTATTATATAGTATACACTAAATCTATGTTGATAATTCTTTTCCTATTATCTACCTCCTTGGTCCATCTGGCAAGAAGCATTAAGGCGAGTTCTAACGTTGGCCATCCGTTAAAAAGACTTCTAAGAGAAAGAATTATTAATACATGCAGGACACTATTCTAGAGTTGTTATTTTAGTTAGGTTTACCTCATTATTTGCATATGGTTCCCACAACCCTAGTTATGGAGTTTAGTTACCCATAGTCATAATCACAATATTCAAATATATTATATAAGAATTTATGTACTTACTTCAATGAGAAAGAGTAAAATCCGAAAGTTTGCTTGATTAATAACCAAAAATCTCTTGCAAGAATCTCAAAGTAATCAAAAATCTCACAAAAAGTCTAATGATAGTCCAAAGTCTCACAATATAGTGTCTACTAATAAGGTGTCTAATAATACGGAGTCTAACCTCAAAAACGAGGTTTTTCAAACTGTTTATAAAAAATAAAAACGTAATTAAACAAGGACTCTATTTGCAGGAAATCTGTCAAAACGCGATTGGGTCGACGGACCTCGCGACAGATCGTCATGGTCACGACGGACCGTCATGGACTCTGTAACCCCACACTTGGTCAGACTACCCCATCTTCCTTCAGCAGCTGCACTACGCTGCCACCTACGGACCGCCACAAGCTCCGTAGGTGGTCTCTTCTGCATTTCTTCGCTCAAAATCTCCGCATTCATCTTTGGACAGATTTCCTGCAAATAAAGAGAAGCTTATACAAAAATTAAAACAAAAAGGCTTTTGGACACACCAAACCTTAAGGAAAAAGTATTAATAATACCGTGAAAACACAGTATATCAACATCCTCAACTTAAATTCGTTGTTTGTCCTCAAGCAACGCACTATGACTCAATACAAAATCTTTGTACAATAGTATCCATGTTTTATCCTTTGCAATCATTTGGCTATCAATCCCAATTAATCTCATCATATCTATGCATGCTATCACTATTAGTCTTGAATTATGTGGGATCAGAACATGACACAAACTCACCATGCACTAACACCTATCCTTATCAATTTCTCACCGAGGTGCTAACAATTCCGATATTGCAACTAGTGTCCTCACTTTAAAACAAAATTCTTATTTTTCACATAATGATTCCAGTTTGAGTATAAGGATTACTTTTCAACACTCGCTCTCAGAACAAATTCACACTCATTCATATCTATTGCCATAAGCTTGCTCTTATTTTCACTACCTTAAGTTCACTATACAACCCTTAGGATCACGATAGGACTTTCGTAGCTTGTAACATAGGCTCAAGGTCAGGTAGGTTATATTGAGGTATACTTTAGTGACATTTTTACTTCCTTGACATATCGGCTAAACCTACCACTTTCTATCATTTTTTCTCGCCCAGTTTCTCATATTCTTTCACCTTGCTATTTTCTCTTCTTTCTTCATTTGTGTAAGTGACTCTCTTCTTTTCTTGCTTGTATTTCTTGTATTTTTTTTTCTTTTTCTTTACTTTTCTTTCAATTAATTCTTGAGTCACTTTACTTTTGTTCTTTCTTTCTCTTTGTTCTTTCAACCCCACTTTCCAGAGCATTCCTCATAATATCCACCCTCAACTCATGGCTTTGCCATGAGTCAAGGAACACAATACCCAAAGTTGGGTAAGGGCCATAATGAAGGTTGTTTACTGCATTAGCCACCCTCAACTTATGTTTTTGGCATAAGCTGAGGTGCACATGTCCAAGGAGGGACCAGGGCCAACACATTGTTTCCAGAAAAAATCAGTTGGGGTGAAAAAGAAAGGTCTAATTTAAGCTCAGATCATTTGGACCAAAGAAGGATAAATTTCATTTGGTTTTCTTTTATTTAGGCTAAAAATGGGCTATATTGAATAAGGTCCTATGATCCTTTCCTAATTGTCTATTACAGCTTACTTTTAGCAGGACTAACCAGGCAAGTTCTAGCTCAGTACATATAGTGGACTATTCAAATCTTCCTCACACTCACTTGACATCTCATCACTCTACCAGATTATCAGACACCTAGTTCGAATTTTAGACTTAGGGTAATGCAATGGTGTACCTCTATGTCATGCTTAGAGCCACACATTTATCAGTTACTATGCCTAGTCGTGCATCATTTTCTAGTTTATCAGGATATCATTTTAGTCATCATGCTCCAGAATTAAATTATGTACATAAGATATAGACATGCCGGTTCAACAGAAAAAGTAATCAGTCTTCTGGGTAAAAAGAACACAGGCAAGAAAACCCCAAAAGAGGATAGTGAATTGGGCTACTCAGACTTCACCCTAGCACTCACTATCCATTTACCCCACCCCCAACAAAAAAACATGCAATTGTCCCTAATGCATAAAAAATGTAAATACTAGAGTGGTAGGTGAAGCAAACCTGTGGCGCAAAGCGTCGTCGATCAGCAAGCTGGTGGGTCCAGTTCCCCAGAACCCACGTCCTCTGCAATCTGGACACCCTCAGTGGTGTCCTCAGCAACAACCTCACTATCAGCAGTGCCTCCCGCTATCTCCACAGTTCGGGAGCTAGACGCCCCAGCCGCTAACTCTCCTACTCTTATCTAGT